GTATGCGTGTTTTTAAAATATGTCCAAGTGTACTTCCAGGTGCAAGCAGCATTATTAGAGTCCCAAACTGTAGTTCTTAGAATTCTGGGTAAAAGACTTGAGGAAAAGAAAGTCATGTAAGCCTTTTCTTTTTAGCCTGTTAAAGGTGTATGACTCATATTTAGAGGTATGGTTTGGGTGTACCGTTACTTCAAACTCCAAAACCCCAAACCTGTTGCCATCGAGTCCAACTCAATAGTGACCCTATAGGACAGAGTAGAACCGCCCCATAGGGTTTCCAAGGCTGTAATCTTTACAGAAGCAGATTGCCACATCTTTCTCCTGGGTTTAAACCGCCAACCTTTCATTAGCAGCTGAGCGCTTAACCACTGCACCACCAGGGCTCCTTCCATTACTCCAAGATTCACTTTTTTCATATTCTGTATTTGAGCCTGATAGGTTCAGAAGAGATGTTTGAAAGAATCAGAGTAAAGCTCATTTCAATGTTTTCTTCCTTTTCCTATGATTTCCCAATGTAAAACAACATAGTATATAACCTGAATCACAGACTGGGACACACATAAATGTCTCAGTTTCAGCCCTTCATGACCTTTTAGCTTCAAATTTACAGAGCAGGTAACAGCCTACTTAGTTAAAATGCCTTGCATATTCCTTGCAAAGTACCTTGTGTTGGAGTGATTGAGGGATCTGTCTTATCATCCCTTCAAGAGCCCGTGCTGAGTGGAAAGAGGGGCTTTGAAACCAGATGGACCTGCGTGTGAAGCCCAGTTCCATTACTTGGGTTTTATTAGTGCTAACATTTATTGAAGGAGCCCTGGTGGTGCAATGGTTAAGCGCTCAGCTGTTAACCGAAAGGTCTGTGGCTTGACCCCACCAGCGGCTCTTCACAGAAAAAGACCTGGCATCTGCTCCTGTAAAAAGATTACAGCATAAGGAAACCCTATGGCACAGTTCCACTCTGTCCTGTAAGGTCGTCATAAGTCAGAACTGACTGTACAGCACACGACAACATTTATTGAGTGCCCACTAAGTACATTTGCACTGTATTACAGGTATGCGTTGCTTAATGTCCACTATATGTTCTGTGAAATGGGATGTTACGTGATTTGGATGTTGTGCAAACAACTGTGTCCACGGGCATGGGGCTCCTAGGCGCACTAGCCGGAGGCTGCCCTGCAGCACATGGCCGGACAGCTCCTGCTGTGGACAACCTCAGGTGAGCACTCAGCCAGGTCCCCCTGTCCCCCTTTCCCAGCTGTCACCGCATTCTCTGCTAAGCCA